GAACTTCGGTAGCCATCCCGCCGCAATTTATCACATTCTGCGGGGGTACAGGTGGGGAGGGGAGAAGGGGCATTAAAAACCAGAATTTTTACTTTTCTTTACTTAGTCTTTTTAGTAATACCTTCCTAGGCATAATAGGATTAAAAATAATATTAATAATGAAAATGATGATAAAAACAACTAAGAATTATTAAAGCACCTACTATATACCTTAATATACTTTAATGGATTATCTCTAGAGTTCACAACAATCCAATGAGGTAGATACCATCATTAACTCCACTTTACTCACAGGAAATTGAAGCTAAGAGTAAATATTATTTGTTCTATAATGTTACATAAGTAACAGAGGGCTCAGAATACTAACCCAGGGCCTTAATTACTACACTATAATTTTTGACACAAAACAATTGATTATGTTATTCCATATTAAAAAAAAAAAATAGAGGCCAGGTATGGTGACTCATGCCTGTAATACCAGCGCTTTGGGAGGCCAAGGCAGGAGGATTGCTTGAGGCCAGGAGCTCGAGATCAACCTGGGCAGCACAGCAAGACCCTGTCTCTAGAGAAAACAGCTGTAGTTACCCAGGAGGCTGAGGCAGGAGGACTGCTTGAGCCCAAAAGTTCAAGGTTACATTAAGCTATGACCACAGCATCACTGCACTCTAGCCCGGGCAACAGAGCGAGACCCAAACAATTTTCGTGCCATGGTTTTTTCCTAGACTCATCAGCTAGAAGTGACACAAGAGACCATGGATTATAATACTCTCATTTTATTTTTAGTTTTCAACTTAATTTTGATGCCAAACAGCCTATAAAAGCTGTGTGAAATTTAATATGAAGCCAGGTGCCAACCCAAGATGTCTGCCAGTCCATAGAAGAATGTCTGGCACAACCAAGTGAAAGGTACCCAGGGGCCATGGTACCCTGGATTGCAGGGGACCAGCGCCATGGGCTGTGTGGAGTTGAATTCTCTTCAAGGAGAACCACTGCACTGAGGACTCTCACCAGTGGGAAACAGTGCTATAAGAAAAGTTCTAATGGCTTTTTAAAGCCAGACACACAAAGGGGCATTTGCCTCGCCAAAGGATTTGCCACAGAGTTCCTTTAAATATCCAGCGTTTTGTGCTTGGTTTTGGAAAAGTTTTCTCTTTGCACAGCTTTACAAAACCATTCACCTAGTTTAGCATAGAACTAAACTAGGGCATCTTCAGAGTTCCTTTCTAACATTAGGATCTATGATTCTTCCTCAAAGAGGAGACAGCTCACTTCAGTGGAGGGATAAAAATATTAGACTAATTTTAAATAAACCAGGGAATAAAAAATCCTCATTCTCCTTTGCTACCTCACAGTGGGAGTAGATACAGAAAGTTTCCAATTCAGATCTGCAAATCAGATAAAAATTATATTCTAGTAGAATGCCAAGCTAACTAAAAAATGCATAGGTAATCATCAAATAGTTAAATGATACCATTTCAGTTACTTACAGGTTAAAAAACTTGTGGTCTGATCTGGCAACTACTTGTAATGTTGATTAAAATAGATTTTTTTTAAATTTCTGAAACTTCCAGAATGTAACACATTTTAAAATGAGAATTTACTCATACTAATCTAACCCTTTATAATGTGAAATATTTTCACATTTTCTCTAACATTTGACAATTTTTCTAAAATAAATAGTACAATCAGAATCTATACTCTCATGCTATAATGTTATAAAAAGTATGATTAGCAGTTTTTAAACTGTTTTCTGCAGAGTTGTGGGATTCTGTAAATATTAGAACTGATTTTCTTTGAACCGGCTATGATAAAAAATGCTCAAGATCAATAGTTTTGCATACCGGATTTTAACACAATGCAGGGAATTAATTCATTAACTTGTGTAGCTAAATCAACTTTCCTGTGGTCCTAGAAATAAAGCTATTCTTGCTATCTCTGTAGAACTGACGTCTCCTAAGGATTAGGGTGAACCTTGTAAAATAAACCAATGTAAACTGTTACCACTTGTAGCTACTTACCTATGTAATTCAGGGTTTTCAAATACTTTACAAATAAAACAAAATACAGATAAGGTGGAGGGTAAGGCCCTTTTAAAGTAAATCCTTTTGTTATTCAAATGGCCTTTTTTGCTTCATTAATTAACCCTGTAAGAAGTTTAAGTTATAAAACTTAACACTATTCAAACATTACTTTTAAAAATCTGTTTTATGGGCTGGGCGCGGTGGCTCACGCCTGTAATCCTAGCACTCTGGGAGGCCGAGGCGGGCCGATCCTTTGAGCTCAGGAGTTCGAGACCAGCCTGAGCAAGAGCGAGACCCCATCTCTACTAAAAATAGAAAGAAATTATCTGGACAACTAAAAATATATAGAAAAAATTAGCCGGG